AAATCTAAACAAAAGAATATTGACCTTATTGTCTAGAAAATGAATAGTAAATAATTGTTACCAAGAAATGCAGAACGTTTTCCATGAATTTGATTTGCATGAAAATCTTGTGCACGATCATCAATAACTTTTTTTGTAAACTGATGAACTATGTTTAAACATCGATTATGTTCTCGACCTTCAGGTAATAAATTAAACAGAAAATCAGGCCACATCCATGGCATACGTTGACGTTTTAATACCAGATCTGTCAGCCTAAATTAATTACAATTTGGTGTTTTTCTGTGTGAAATAATTTTTTTTACTTTAAAACAGCATCAACATATTCAGAATTGTTTTGGTGTTGTGCACCTATATTTAAGCCCATTGCAGTTTCTAAAATATTATCAAAATTAACCGGTGAAAGAAAATTCAGTAGTAGATACATACCACATATAATATCAAGAGCACAAGATGCAATATATGAATATAAATTAACTTCTTTATCTAATTTCATAGAAGCTAAACGTTGAATTAGAATAGTTGCTTGTTCATTAAATATATCAACAGAATTAGCTAATAAGTCTTTATCATGAAATGCAGGAGTTAGAATACGTCGACGATTTTTCCATTTAGTTCCTGCACTAGAAAAGAATATATTCTTAAGCATTTAGTTTAGTTTCATAGAATTATTTGAGAAACAGATTGTTGATTGTAACTAACCTTGTTAATAAGCCAGTTCGAAGCCATGGTAGTAGATATATATAATCTGTTGATTTTGTGATATGTTTTGTACCAGAAAAAAAATGCTAGTATAAATTAAAAAAATATATCATTGTCTCTTAAGGAGAGAATAAATAGCAAACTTCAAGTCCAACTGGATGAAAAAACACAAGTAAAGGATGTGTACCAAGCCATAGGCAAAACATATCTTTATATTTTGCATATTCATAAAATTCACCAAGTCTTCTCGTGAATTCTACATAAAAATATATTCACATGATTGTTTTACATATGAAATTATTTCTTACTATATGGATTTAATGGTAAAGTCAATATATCTCCTAATATAGGTAATTTACTTGGTGAACATGGAATTCTCTTGTAGGTTTGTGATATTTTAATAAAGTGAACAATTGATTTTTTGAATGCAAAAAAAATAAGAATAATAAATAATAATATCAATGAAATAAATATCATTCTGTTCTTTTTTCTAAAATAAAAATTAATGATTGCTGTATTGTTTTGCAAGTTTTTATTTTAGAAAATAAATAAAAAGATATTTTATGTTAGCCATATCATAACAACAAAAAACGTGTATTTAACAAGCAAAAATCAAATATATATATACATATATATATATATTTATTTAAATATAATCGAGAGTAAATACAATGATGAAAGATAAGTTATCATTTCTTGCTCTTTTTTTCTGCTTCTTTATCTTTTTATGTATATCGAGTACGCTTAGACTTTTGAGAGTCATTTGTAATTAAATCTGCTGAATGATAATCACGTTTACGTGCTAATTGATTATCTACTTGTTGTCGAACAAAACTTTCAAGTTGTTCGGAATGACGATTGGAAGATATATCAACATGAGTTTTATTGTCATTATCTAAATAAAAAAAATTAATGAAAATAAAACAAAAAAGAAAGCTTTATATTACCATCCATAACAAGTGCTTGTCGAAATGTGTGTAAATCATCAACAATTGGTGGTTGATTAGATGAAGTATTATTTGTATGATCAATTTCTGATGTATAAGATACACGATATGGTGGACGACCCACTAAATAATCATATATTTCGTCAGTGCGTATGTGGCGACGTTGTCTACGACGTGTCCATCGTAATAGTTGTTTAGTTTTACGTTGTTCACCATTTAGTATACCAAGTTGAATAGCATCTTTTAAAGTATCAAGACTTTCTAAAGAAAAATATCAAAAATTTAAGTTATGCGATATTATTTAATAAACCATCTTTGTTTTCTCTACAATGTACTATTTAGTTTGATATATCCATTAAAACTATATTTCGAAAGTGTCTATATGAAAACTAAAGCGTCATGAGTCATTAATGACTCATTCAGATTAGCATATTTTTCCCGGGATAGATCTTCGACTGATTTTCAAACAAAAATATTTAGAGAACTGAGCTGTACTACCGATATAATTCTATTCATGATATTTACCTTTATAAAGCATTGTGACAGATTGAGCTGCGGTATGAAATGTAGTCCAGGCATTTGTTCCACTTGAGCGTTCTAAAATAAATCATAATAATAAATAAAGAAAAATATTTAATATGTTTTTTTTATAATTACCACGAAACATTTTCGTAACATTTGTAGCTGCAGTTTGAAATGCAAGAAATAATTTTTGAGTGTGTAAATCTTGTCCGTTCGTTAAATTTTCTTGAATTGTTCTTTCTAATTCATCTTCATATTTTGATAATGCAACTTCTTCATTATCAATTGATGTTGAAAGATTAATTTGAGAATCATCAAAATCCGACATAATTATTATAATAAATGAAATGAAAATGAAAAATAATAATTGTCATCCAATAAATACCTAAGAAATGATGTCGCTAGATATATATTGTTTTTTGTAAGAAATTAATTTTTCTCGAAAGATAAATTTTTTTAATAAAAAATATTTAAATTAGAAAAAATAAATAAATATTTTATATTGAATTCATATTTGATTGGTTAATTAAAATTTAGTATAAATTGCGCAGCAAAGAAGATATTACTTTGCTTTATACAAAACAAGAAACGAAAAAACATGGATAAAAATGATAGTGAACAAATCGCATCACCAGCATCAGTTGAATCACCTTCAAGTACTGTTGAAAGTAGTCAACAACGATTTGATTCACAAGGTGATGATGGATCATTTTTTGTTGGAAGGTATTTACATAGCTTTCTTTCGTTCGTTCGTTCGTTCTCGTCTAATTTTATATTTTGATTTAGTTTACCAGCTGAAGTCATACGTCGTGTAAATGCACTTCGAAATCTTCAAGCCGAACATCATAAAATTGAAGCAAGCTTTTTTGAAGAAGTTCATGCACTTGAATGTCGTTATTTAAGCAAATATCAACCACTCTATGAGAAAGTATAAAAAGAATTTAAATGTATGAATTAAATTAAGACTCTTTTCTTTGTTTTGTTTAGCGTTTAAATATTGTCAAAGGTACTTATGAGCCAACAGAAGCTGAAGCTAAATGTGCATTTGATGGAGATGACGTATGAATAAGAATTTATTTCTAAGAGATGGATCTTTTATTTATTTTTTGTTATTTATAGGCTGATGAACAAGCCAAAAAAGCTGCTGAAGAAGAAAAAAAAGATGCAGAAAAGAAAGACGAAGGTAAGTTAGGTTATTGTCAGTTATAATAGCCTTTGTAAACGTTATGAAAACATGTCTTAGCCCATTACTTGAAGTTTATGTAACCTTGAGAGAAATCCTTCAAAACATCATAATAGAATATTTATGATGATATCAGAATAATTCATTAATATTTAATATAAGATTAGGTTACATGATAAAAGTCTTTAAAAAAAAAGAATTGCATGTGAGATTTTATTTGTAAATAAATTCATATATTATTTTTTTTTGTAGAAAAAGCCGTTGGCATTCCAGAATTCTGGTTACAAGTATTCAAAAATTCCGATATTGTTTCTGATTTAATTAAAGTAGAAATTTGTTATTTTTTTTGGTTGGATAAAAAATATTTTATTTCAAATTTTATAAATAGGAACAAGATGAAGAAGTTCTTAAACATCTTATTGATGTTCGTATAGCAATGCAAAATGAAGCTGATAAGAAAGGCTTTACAATTGAATTTGAATTTACATCTAATGAATACTTTACTAATACAATATTAACCAAATTTTATGAACTTCGTACAGGACCAGATGATCAAGAACCATTATCATATGAAGGACCTGAAATAATTAAATCGAAAGGCTGTGAAATTCAATGGAATAAAGGAAAGAATGTCACAATGAAAATGGTTAAAAAAAGACAAAAACATAAAAATCGTGGAACAATCCGTGTAGTTACAAAAGAAGTTCAAACTGATTCATTTTTTAATTTCTTTTCACCACCAACTGGTAAAAAATTTTCGCACATGAAAACATGAAAAAAAACGAGAAATTCTTTTTTTGTTTAGTACCAGAAGATCCAGAAGCTGAACTTGAAGATAGTGACGAAATGAGAATGTTAGCAGCTGATTTTGAAATTGGTCATATGCTTCGAGATTCAATTGTACCAAAAGCTGTCCTCTATTATACCGGTGAAGTTGGTGATGAGGATGATGGAGATGTAAGAACAATTTTTGAAATAAATAAAAATATTATTATCTTATTTTTTCGTTAAAAGTATGATGATGAAGATGAAGATGAAGATGAGGATGAAGATGATGATCAAGATGAAGATGAAGATGAAGAAGAACATGAAGGACATGGAGCTGCTCGTGGCGGTCATGGTCATAGTCATGGTGGTCATTCTCATGGTAGTGGTGGTGGTAAACATGGTGCCGGTGGTGTTAGTATTCATGAAATAGTTTAATTATAAAAAAAAAACATTCTTTTTTTAATTTAATTAGAAATCTCGAGGCGGTAAACAAGGCGGCGGTGGTCAACAACCCGAGTGTAAACAACAGTAAAACACAAGAAAAGACACAGTGTCAATGTTTTTTTTTATACCGATGCTATCGTTTTTTTTCTCGTTGTTTTTTTTCCAGACATGGATTTATTGTTGTTATATCTTGAAAAAAATTCTTTTTTTCAACTAAATGAATAGGCTTAATGTTGAAAAGAAGAATATATAAAAACAGATAAGAAAAGAAGAAATCATTTGTCTTTTATTGATAAAACCAATCGATGACATGAAGTTTACCATGTGTGGATGAGCGCCGTCCATCCTCTAGATCAATTATTACTTAAGCATTTAATTGGAACTACTAGACATAAGATTTCTATTTTACAATGAACATGAAAAATATATGTATAAAACAAAAGCGAACTTTAATCTATTATAGTTGTTTTACTAATAAGTAAATTATATACAGAATAAATAATTCAACTGTTATTAGAATTCTAATTGTTGAATATATTGTAAATCTATATCTCTTGAATAATCAAGTGGAGTTGTTGGCGGATCTCTTGGTAATGGACGTTCTAAAGTATTATATAAATAATGCCATACATCCAATTTATCTTTTGAAGTTTTTTGTGTACGTTTTTTTGGAACATATAACGATCGAGTAGATACAGTACGTTTCTTTGGTATAGAAAAAGAATTTCGACTTATTGATGGTAAATTTATTTGATTAAATGAACTTGTAATTGTACTTGTTTCAAATTCATTATTCGTATCAGTATCAGTAACTATTGATGAAGCTGTTTTTGAATTTGAACGTGTTGTTAATGAAAGTGATGATGAAATCGAACGATCATTAAATGGAATATTTTTCGAAAATAAACTCGTTTTTTCTAAATTCGATTGATCAATTTTAAGTAAATTATTCGCAAGTATTTTTGATGATTGTTGTTTTGCATTTGAATTTAATGTTAATGGATGAAGATAAATACGACGTGTTAAAATTTGTGCAGTATTTCGTGATGATGTATGATGACGATCATTATTTGTTGGATATAATTCAAGTAATGTGAGACATTTTACTTTTATCGAATGTCGGGGTGTTACTGTTGTAGTCATATGAATCTAGAATGTAGACAAATAAATTCAACTTATTCACATTTCTTTTAAAAAGTCTTCTTTCTTTCATTGATAAATATATAAAATTCTACGCCTAAAATAAAGTCATTCGAATTTTTCTAATATTGTCCTTATATTTTATACTAAAAAACAAACATACCTGATTGAAATAGAGATTAATAATAAGAAAAGAAAAGTACGAAAGTGAATTTTTCAAGTGCCTAAAAAAGAAAAGACAACATTTGAACTAAGTATAGTTTGAAATGAAGAACTTTTCGCATGATGTCGCTTGAAACTAAATTTAATATGCAAAAGAAAGTATCTTCTCTATCGATTGGTTGTTTATTTACTTCTAGATTGTAAAAAAAAAGAATTATATTTTTTGAAAACTGATAAAAACAAAGGAAATGCCTAAATCTCGATCAAAAATAAAGAAAACAATTATTGCTCCTCATACTGCTATTATTGGTATAGGTGATGAACTTGATTTATCAATATGTTGTTCAAATCGAAATTGTCCATCACATTGGCATGATCGTTTAACTGAAAAACTTAAAAATCTTCAACAATCAAAATCGAAACTATCTTCTTCTTCTTCATCGACTATACCATTAATTAAAACAAAAACTCAATATAAATTATCTTATCCAGATATATTATCAAAATTATTTCAAATCAGTCAAATAGATGAAAATAATCATGATGAAATTTATTCAACACCAATTATAAAATCAATTATACTTAATAAATATGATACATTTGTTAAAAAAATATCGAAAACATTAAATGATTCAACATATAGTTTTATTCAAAATAATCTAAATTTACAAATGAAATATCGATTAATTCCATTAATTGCTGATATTTTTTCTGATCAGGTTAAATATTGTTTTATTATAAACTAAAATATTTAACATTTCTTTGCATAATAGATGGATCGTATGGAAACATCTACGCAATTAAAAATCAATCTACTTCGTATAAATCATGTACATTTGAATTCCTATTTACGACTTAAAATTATTTCTACACCAATATGGAATCGATATGTTGTACATGTTATTGTACAAGATGAAAACTCTCATTGTCTACGTTTATCAATTTATAATTGGTCATATGTTATTGACACAAGACAAACAAAAACTTCAACTTATATTCAAGAACGTTTAACAAGTTTATTATCAATAAATTCAACTATAATTTTATTAGATCCATGGTTAAAAACATGTCATGATAGTGATATTGCATTACGTTGTGAATCACCCAATACACATTTATTAATGATTGATTATCAAGAACGATGTTCAATGAGTAGTAAAACAAATGTTGAACAATTAAGACAATTGGGAAATACTTGTTATCAAGTTGATGATAATCTTAGTGCAATTGAATATTATACATTTGGTTTAAAACAACTCGATGATGAACAAGAAAAAGAATTAACATCAAAAGGACAGTCAAGTATGTTGAAGAATTTATTTTATATTTTTACAAAATATATTTTAGTTGGTCCAAAAACTGATGAACGTGAACAACATCGTATTCGTCTTTTATCTAATCGATGTGCTTGTTATTTACGTGAACGTCATGCTGCGTTAGCTTTAGCAGATACTGGTATACTTCTTGCATTTAATGAATTAACTCATATACTCGAGTCACCAAAAGCAACTACAAGCAAACTTTTATTTCGTTGTTTAAGTGCTCATCTATATTTAGGTTTATTTGATAAAGTTGAAGGTTTATTAAAATCACATAAATTTGGTGTTGGCTTAACTGGTGGAGAAAATCCAGCATCAATGGCTATACTTGAAAGAGAATTAATACGATTAAGAGATGAAGGTACAAAAGGACGATATGATCTTCAAGGAATGTTAAATAAACAAATAAATAATAAATCACATATGATGTTTATTGATTTACCTCATCATCATGCGGAATGTCAAAGAAATGATTTATTTGAAGTTCGACTTTGTCAAGTAAATAATTATTTAAAAAAAATTATACTAAAATTCATTTTTGTTTAATATTCAAATAGGCAGATGAATTAATTAAAAATGGGTATCCAAATGGTTCACATGGTGTGTATGCATTGAAAAATCTTGATGTAGGTACATTACTAGTAGTTGAACAACCATTTGCAAGTATTGATAATCGAGTTATTGGTGAAAAATATTGTCATTCAATAAATCATTGGGAAATAAATTCAAAAATTGAATATTGTTCAAATGATACATTACGTTTATTGAATGAAATTGAAAAACAATTATTAATTGGTAATGGTACATGGACAACATTTGATAAAATTAAATTAATGCAACCTATTCGACAATGGTTAGCAGAAAATATGCAAGAAGATACAAATCAACAACAAGAAAATAATGATTTAACATCAAATTTACCAGAAAATTATGAAAAAATTTTATCAGAAAAAAAACAATGGAGAAAACCGTTTTCAAAGTAAGTAAATCAAAAGCGAAATAGTGAGGATAACAGAAAAACACGTTCGAAAAGGAGTGTTGAGGAATTACGGGATAGAAATTTGCACTTACTGCCCCCTTCGCCAGACGTGACTGACAAATGTTCTTTTGACCTGGACACAGATGAGTCCGTTACAGACATGTACGTTGAATTGCAGAACAAAACGATTAACTCATACTGTTCAGAAAAGATAGATACGTGAATAGTTGCTTTTATATTAATCGATTTTTCTATTAAATTTTGCAACAACTGTTATAATGCTAATTAAGTTAGATGAGGTAAAAGCTGTTTCATAATGATACAACTAAACTAATTTCTTGAAGGTAGAAACAACAGTTAGATCGTATTTCACATATGGTCTACACTAATCCTGTGTTATTGCAGTTAGCGAGAATCCACTGTACTTACGCCTGAAATCTTGCCAATGACGAATGTCTTGTTGGCGAGGAAACAGTAAGCTGTAAATAATTTATCTTAATTTTTTTATAGAAGATTACCACCACCATTACCCTACATTCCATGGCGCATTCTATTTGAAACTCAACAAGAAAATCCATATAAATCTCAAACAACTCATGCATGGTATCCATTAGGTTCAATGTTTAATCATTCTTGTTTACCTAATTGTATATGGTATTTAATTGGTGATTATTTATTTATTTATGTTTGTTCAACAAATATTCGACAAGGTGATGAATTAACTATATCTTATTGTCCATTATGGATATCATCAATAAATGAACGTACAAATTATCTTCGTCAATATAATATACAATCATGTCAATGTTCACTGTGCTTATATGATCGATCACATATAAATGAATATGAGAATGATTTAAAAAAGTTTTCTAATATTCGTGCATTAGCACGACAAAAGAATCTAACTAATTTAAATCGTTTAATTTATTTACAACAATTAATATGTCATTATGAATATTTAATAAATAAATATGCAGAACGATCAATTAGTTTTATAAACGAATTTATTGATTTAGAATATATTTCATATTATTTTCAACAAGATAATATTGAAAATGAAATAAAAGAATTTTTAAATATTCGTAAAAATTCATTTCTTCAACGTTTATCACAAATTTGTCGAGTTGCACTACCAAATATATCAAATCCAATTTTATTATTTGGTAGACAAACACAAGTATATTTATTTATTCTTTATTTCAAATATACGTATATCCGTTTTCTTTTAGTTACTTATTGATCATCTTGAACATTGTTCTGCAGTAGATTTAAAACAATGGAATGCTTTACTTGAATATCTTTATGAAATTTATACATTTAAATGTCATTCATCATCGAATAATATGCAAAAAACTTTAATAAAAGATTATAAAGAATTCTTTAATAATCTTATTCAAACACAAACATTTTTTCAACATCCATTTAAAAACTTTAATTAAATTTTTATATTGATTGTTTTGTCTGATATATATATATATCTATATATTTAAGTCTTTCAGTTGATATTGCAATAGAAAGTCATATATGTATTAAATTGTATATGAAAGGAAAAAAACAAGATATTATATTTTTTTTTCCGAGTATGTAAAAACGGAAGGTATACAAGAATAAATTATGATTACGTTTATTTAATAAAGTTTTAAAAACAAAACAATAGCTTAATAATCAATAGTATGTGTTAAAAATGCCAGTCTTATATTTTTTGTGGACAAGACATCTTATGGGTGTGAGTGTGAGCTAAGAGAAGAAGCACACCTACACCCACATAATATGTCGACGAAAATTTTCGACAATCTCACTTTCGACGAAAACACATTCGATAAAAAACACAAGTACCAAAATGCGATAAGAAAGTAAGACATCATGATATAAGCGATCTCTTTTGAAAATTGATAATTATAAAATAACAAGATAGCGAACTTTGAAACAAAGAGAAAATCTAGAATATCTATTATTAATAATTGCTCCTGACCAGAGAAGATCCTCAAATATTCAAGCAGTTTAGACTACCTCTTTTGGCCACCAGTAGACCTCAATGAGGTATGAAAAACCTCAACGGGTCGGAAAAATCAAATGATGTCTAGAATATTCCTACAGTTTTAGTCGAAACGGATGCTTTCTTCGCTATATATTCCGTTTTTTAAAAAACCTCAGTTTATAATAATTTGTCCAGATATTGTTGTACTTTAACAACGCAAAAAACATTACATGCTTGAGATTAAAATCACCGATATGGAATCAATACTCAGTCTCGATTCAGAAATTGATAAGAAAATCTTAGATGTATTCAAAAAAGAATGTAAGACAAGCCTAGTAGCAAGCACTTTATCAGTGATATAGAAATTCAACACTGAATACACTAAGATCTTTATCATCTCCTCACACATTTTCCAATTTATATACGCATATTTAAATTATTTCAATCATTCGTATATTCTGTAAGAATACAAAGCATTATTTACGTTTTATATATGATATTTGTTCATCTTCTATATCACACTAATAAAAAAAAATAAATATATCTAATACACATAAAAATCAAATACATAAAAATTTAATAGTTCTCTTATGATTTACTACGTTTACCACTTAATCTATCACCATAAATATATTTTAAGACTGCCCAAATTCTATAATAATCTGGAAAGGTATTTTTTCCTGTATGACGACCAGTTGAACAAACAAGAAGTGGACGTTTTGATGCTTTTACATCTTTCAGATTATTTTGTTTAATTCTAGTGATACATTCATCTGCATTATTACTTTGATGATATCCAAATGGAAGAATTTCACAAGCAAAATTAAATTTTTCCGGTAAAACACCAGTTATATAAATATCCGCAAAACGAAATGGTTTTTTATCATTAAGACCTTCATCAGCAAGTAATTTTCTTGTTTTAGAATTCATTAAATAACCAAAAGCTAATTAGAAGAAGAAGAAGAAAAAAATAAAAGATAATTTCTATTATAAACTAATATAAATATACTAACTAGAACAATGACGTGGATATGTTTCCCTTGGATATTCTTCATAAGTAACATAATATTGTCCCATAGTAGCATTTCGTTCTGCTTTACTTGATTCATATGCCCAACCAAAAAGAAATGTAGGTACATCTAAATTCAATTGAGCATTAAAAAGTGGTTGTAATGAAATATTATATAAATATCGTTCGTCAATTTCATCTGATTTTGTTTTAAGTTCTCTAATAATTTCATGTAAAAGAATTGAATTAACAAATAAATCATCGTCTGTTTTAAATATATATGTTACATTTGAACAATATTTATCTAACCAATCATATGCATGTAATTCTTTAACTGTCATTAATTTATCATCAATAGTTAAATAAAGTATATCTTTTTCATGTTGTGCTTCATTTACTAAATCACTATAAATATTATTTCCAGTTTGATATCCAATAACAAAAAGAATTTGAGAACGTACATTAAATACATAAGGCATTGAACCCCATGTTTCACGAATAGCTTGTCTTTCAAGAAAATGCGAACCAAAGGAAATAATAACAAATATAAGATCAATTTTATTTGAAGAACATAATTTTGTATTATGTATTAATGGTAATCCTGCACTAACTGCATGTACATAAGCTTGTTCTTCTTCTGGTTCATTATTCGTTAGACTAATTTGATAAGTTCCATTGAGTAGATTCCAACTAATATAACATATTATTGAAATAATGAATAGAAAAAATATTCTATTACGGCCTCGTCGCATTCTTACTGATGATGAAAATAAACTTTTAACTATTAAAAATTGTTCGAATAAAAATGCATCAACGTGTTCGTTTGTTTATAATGCATAGTTAAAGAAAAAAAAAGTACAACAGAAAAAGAAGAATTTTTTTCTTCTCCAGTTGTTTTTCTTTTCTATTCAAGGACTGCTGAAATATTAAAAAATAAACTGGATTGATACATATACTAATCATTTACATTTTTCTGTTGTTGTTTTTCTTTTTTTTTATGAAAACGAAAACGTTTTTGTTTCTTCCGTGTTTATATGGCTATAAATCCTTTTTCTTCTACTCTTGCGATGATGCAATAACTTTAACCCGTCAGATATGTTGGTTTTTTGAGTCACATATTAGTCGACGAATATAGACGTATAAAAACTCCGTGAAATAATTTACTTTTTTTTCATTGTATGACAAACCTAGAGGAATCAAAATTTCCAACAAAAAAAACGAAAGAATTGTATCCATGGCAAAACATTTATCAATGGAAGATCTAATTAAAAAATACCAATATCTCCAATCAACTCGACAAGATTCACCAGGACCAGATATAAATCAAAATACATATGCAAGAAATTTAACATCTGATAATAATTCTTCGAAATATTCAAGTAAGATTTTATTAATTTATTAATTGTTCTCATAAATAATATAATCTATTCTCTATAGAATCATCTCCAATATCAAATGATAAAGTAGACGCATCTGCTTGTTCTTCTACGTCATCTAATGAATCATCATTGACTTTAACCTCTGAAGAGGCTTGTAAAGTGTGTTTAGATGCTGAAGCTAATTGTGCATTTATTGATTGTGGTCATATTGTATCATGTTTAAATTGTGCAAAATTATTAACTAGATGTCCAATATGTCGTGAAACTATAAAACGAACATTACGCATTTACAAATCATAACCGCAGAACTAAATGACGAGGTCATACGTCCCATCGCGTCCGGAGACACTCGTACTAATCATCAACAATGTGCTTTTTCTCTCTTTCGCTCTTTATACGATTTCTATTAGTAATTCTTAGGCAAAGCGTATCTATGGATGTATATGTATATGTATATGTATATAACTGTATGTTTGTTTGTTGGTAGGATGTTTTTGTTCGATATTTTTCTTTTCTATTGGTAAATGATGATTTGTATTCTGTATATACAACTATGTGTATGTCTCTATGCTTTTCTGCATCGATGCTAGAGAAAAACACCCACATATGGAGAAGAAATATGCATATAATATATCTGCTTTTTAGTCAATACTCTTTCGGATTGTTCTACGCGACGATACTCTCTACTGTATATACAACGAGATACAAGTAGAAAAAAAAACGAAGGAAAAAATCATATCAAACGAGAGAAAGAAAAAGATAGGGGAGGAAAATCGTGTGTTGATAAGGCAACTCGAACAACTGCTCTGTTTAGTTTATTGCTACTAAACTTATATCTATTGTTTGTTAGTCGTATCTTAAGTTTGCTTATTTATTTTTTTCTTTATTATTCTCTAATAATATTTAATATTATATTACAATGAGTACACATTATATTGGTAGTACAAATAGTGGTAATCAGTATTCTTATAATAGTAGTAATGCTACTACTACTCAATCATATCAAAATTATAATTCAAATGCAACATCAGCATTAGGTTCACCGGGATATTCATCTTATCCTATTAATGCTTCAAATTCACGTTCATCAAATCAACAAATTCGATTAAATGATTCATATCATTCACCACAATCATATCAATCAACTGGTGGATTCGATAGAAATACAACTCAATATTATCAATCATCACAACCATCACCAACACCTCAAGTTCGTGCTAGTGTACGAGTACTTGGTAGTCAAGATGCATATCAATTACAAAGTTCACCACACATAACGCAAGCTTCACCTCAACAACATCATTTTCAATTTGATTCTCGTCAACAACCAGGACGTTCAACAGGTCCAGCAGTAGTTTATCAAACACCAGGTGCTGCTCAATATACACATCATAATGTTGATCTATGGACAGAAGGTCCATCTCAAAGTACAGATCATTATGTACAGGTAATCATAAAAAAAATGTATGAAAAACAAAACGAATACTATTTTTGTTGTTATTAAAAAATAGGCGCAACGTGTATCGGTTCGACCTGTCGCAACTGGTTCTCCTCAACAATCTCATTCGATTTCTCCTCAACGACATCAAGATCATCTACAACAATACTATAGTCAATTGACACCTGGTATGTCTTTTTTTTATCTATCTATCACTATAACCTTCTATAGAACTTCTCCTATATAGTGAAATTAATGATAAATGACGACAGAAAGTATCTAACCTTGTGTTTTGTTTCATTTTAAGAGCAACATCAACAATTGTTACGTCAACAACAACTTCAAAGACAACAAGAACAAAATTCTTCTCTTGAACAACAGCGTCGAGTTATTGTACAACAAGTATCTCCATCATCGACTTCTTATCAACAGCAACAACAACATCGTTCAACAGCTAATATCATTGGAGGACAACAAACTCAACAGGCACGTAGTCGATCTGAACATGATCGTCAGCGACAAAATGAACAAGGTAATATATCTGTAAAATATTTTCACAGATTTGAATAAGAATATATATTTATTTAGATGTTTTTGCCGCTCAACAACGTCAAGTAGTTATTCAAAGAACTCAGCAACAACAACAAGAAGAAGACGATGAATTCTCACGTCCCGTTGGCATTCGAGTATATATCTATATATATTAAATATCATCTTATTTTCTTACCACAATAAAAATGTTTATTTTAGAATCTTATGAATAAATTTGCTCCACCAGCAGCTATTCAACAACGTCATCCAAGATCAAGATCAACATCATCTCGAAATTATTCAACTTCAAATTTTTCATCACATCCAGGTCAAGCAACAACATCTCGTACATTTACATCACATTCAATGACATATTCAGCATTACCAAAATCTCATGAACCACCTGTCAATAGTGTTGAATATTATCAAATGTTACAACAATTTGGAAATCCTTTGGCAAATATTCAACAAGCCGTAGCTCCACCACATATTCAACATCAACAAGCTGGTGCTGGTCTATTACGTGATCGATTTACAACAGGATCACTCTCCGAAGATTTCAGTCGACCACAAATTGTTAATCGACAACCACCACAAAAACAACAACAACAAATACAACGACAAACAAGTAATGAAGGTGCCAGTACTTTATTATCATTACGCGATCAATATATGAATCGAGCTAAGGAAGCATCAAAAAGCGATCTACCAGCAGCACAACCTTTTAATATCTCACGAACAATTGTTGGTGAAGATATTCCTCGACCAAAACAAGCACCTCAACCTCCTCTACAACTACAACCTGCACCACAAGTCCTTCAAAAACAATCTGACTCTGCACCACAAATCCCTCAACAACAACAACCTGCATCTACACCACAAATATCTGAACAAGAACAACCACAAACACAAGATGAAAATGTTGAACAACAAGCAACTTCATTTGAAGGTGTACCACCTTCTACTGATGATGCTGCCGATACTGAACCTGGAACATCATCATTTTAATTCGTCTTGTATCAAATCATTTATTCTAACCTTAATATCGCCTACCCATATTCATATATTATAAAAGATCGAATGATATTCGTGTGTACGTATAGAATAACAGTATATACATATATATATATATATGTATTTATATAAATCATTATGTTTTGTTAGCTCAACGATATTATGCAGCAATACATATGTCCTACATCATTTACCTTATTTTTTTTTGTCTAACCCATTTAAAAAAACAAATGCATGAATATGTGTGGATACATAATTCAATTAGTTTTTATCTTTATTTTAATCTTAGAAAAATAAAATTTTAACTTTTAATAAAAAAGTATTTTCTATTAATTATAATAATAATAATAGATTATGTAGTACACATATAATACATACTTAACATATATATATATATATATATATATGAATTGTAGAGAAAAAGCTTTGGATAACTATAAATAGTAATCTGTCAACATTGATATTTATCTTTTAGATAATATAAATCTATAAGATAAAAGGCAATAGATAATTACCTTGGTTCAAAGAATTTCTGTCTATTTATTAGTAAATCATTGTGATTTTTCTCCTTCCATTGATGCGCAATAGAACTTATTCGCTATTCGATATATATTGATCTAGAGAGGTTGAATAACAATGTTTGTATATGTGTATCTGCAGGCATTTTGTCAAGGAGAAAACAACAGTAATTGTAGATTTCTTATCAAACAAAAGAAGACTTACAAAAATCCTACACACGATTTACAAGTATTTATTTATATATTGTCATATATATCCATATGTACATATTTTAGTAACGAAAATTATTTAATAACATTCTTTTTCACGATTGGTATTTATATCGATAACATTCTTCTAATTTATTTTTATCAAATCGTTGTTGATTTGTACGAATAAATGTAATTCCTGCTTGTATTAAATGATAAAATGTTTCTTCAAGATGACCATCACGTAATGAACGTACAGAAAAATGTTTAAAAATCAATAAAAAATCTTCATAAATAGTTTCATCGTGTTTTCCTGTTATAAGATCAGTAACAATAGTACTTAATTTTGCAAGATCATTTTTATTAACTATTTCGGATGAAATCTTTTGAAGTGATTGTTGATGATTAGATGAATTATTAATATCATTATTTTGAAGAAGAAGTGGATTTGGTTGAGTAGAAAGTGATAAAGCAGCTATAATTTTAGTTAATTTACGTTTTGTTCGTGATTTTGGCATTGTTTACTATTCTATGCAGATATTAGATTGAGCTTAAATCTAAATCATGATGAAATTTATTTATTAAGTTTTTTTCTGTCTTTATCAGGATTTTATATTTTCCTTGATTGAAATTATTTATTAAGTACATATATCTGACCCATAACGGAATTCCAATTTTCAATAGATTTTTTTAAATCTATTTCTGCTATTCATCCCATTTTATAATTCTACTAATAAGATTAATTAAGGTATCTCTGATCTGATCATATCGCAATTCTGTATCTTGATTATATTCTGCTTATAATATGAGGTATCTATTTGCATATATGTTATCCGAATGTATAGATTTACATTTTAGGAAAATATTGGACATTTTAAATTAACTTCTATCTGTTGAGATTTATATTTTTATCTTTAATAACAGAATTTATTTAAAATAAATTATTTATGCATTTTGTTCTCATATCGTTTTTCTATTCGTTAAAAGATTGATCCAATAGTATAGTTTATATTCTTTTCGAGTTTCGACTCGATTTTTAACTTAGAATTTCTATAATACGAGCTATAAAAATCTAATTATTAATTTTTAGATGGGTATTAAACGTAAAATTGAAGAAAATGATATTGAATCAGAGAAAAAAACTAAAAAAGATGAAATATTTCCAATTGAAACATTTGTTAAAAATTTAAAAGATCCGGAAAGTAGTTTTTTAGGTAAATATAATTCCTTTTTAAATTGTTAATAGAATACTAATTTTTCTCCTTATATATATATCTTAGCATTAAGTGAATTCAATGAACATGTACGTCAATTATCATCACAAGAAAAACTTGGTGAACTTATAGAAAATATTCTTCTAAGTTTAAAATCAAATCTAGATGATGTACTTCCACTTATTACAGAAGAAAAACGTAAAACAAGTGAGGTAAGAAAAATAACACTTCTTTTAGTTTGTGTTTCACTGAATCGGAAGAGATAATTTTCTAAAATCCAATCTAATACATTCTCAGAGTAAACATTTCTTATTATGCCATTTTAGAATACAACACTTTATCGTTTTTTAACAACATTAATGGAATATTTTTCAACGAAAAATTATTCAACATTATCTGAACTTATTATGAAAAGATTTCTATCAATAAGTAGTTCAATTCATACTATCTATTTCATGTTATCTAGTCATAGTACAGCAAGTATGTGTATATATTTTTATTTGAAATATATATAGAGAAGTTTTTCTTTTAGGTCATTTGAAAGTTACATTACGTTTTTTATTATCTATGGTTCAACAAAATGAATATTATGCTCGATCAATTTTTTCTTTAATTGATTTTAAACGACCATGTTGGAAATCATTATTAAAGCGACGTGACATTCGAGTAGATTTAATAAATATTTTTTTCTCTCTTGAAAAACTGTTTTTATTTAGGATTCGGAAGATGTACGGTATTGGGTTATAAAATTCTTTTTTTCACCATTAGTTTATCAACATATTGATACAATACGAAATTTAATCAAGGAACATGGTACATTATTTTTCTATAATTCAAAAATAAATTTTGTCTTAAAATATTATTCTATAGATATTTTTCATGAAATTTTCTATGGACTTGTTAATGATTCTCGCAATACCGTAGAATTTATTCTTGATGAAATTCGTACAAATGTAAATATAAACAAATATTCTAATTGAAATTAAATTCATTTATTTCTTGAATATAGATAATAATGGTTCCAGGAGTAACAAAAACGGATAAAATTCATTTATTTGATGATCGAAATTTGAAATCACTTATTCGTTTATATAATTGGACTGGTCAACAGAAACAAAAAGATTTAGTTCGAACAAAAAAGAAAAAAGAAAAATTAGAAGAATCATTAGATTTAGAAGATGAAGAAGTAATAATATATTTATTTTAACATAAAAAAAATAAACTATTGAATTTAGATGGAAGTAGAAGATAATAATGATCGAGATGAAGTTCGACGAATAGTTCATACATTTATGATGATTATATTGAATTCAAGAAATTATGGAATTAATTTTTTTGATACTAATTTTGGAAGTACAACAAAGTAAGAATTTATTTTTAGAGCATATGAAATTTAACTGTCATTCGAAAAAATACCGTACCCCCTACGGTAAAATTTTGCCATTTGGTCGGAAAGATATTGAAGAGTTGACTCTGATGATTATTTGAGAAGTGAGCATTGCTTCGAACTAAGGTGTCTTAGATAAATCGTCATGTTGATATATGCATATACTAACTAAAATATTCTAATAGTGAATTGTGAGAAGGTTCATCATGGTAGTAACTCTCAGAATTGCATCTACAGATCATTTTATACTTACCTTCTTTTTTTAGAAATTCAAATCCAATCATTCTAAAAGTTATAACAAATCTCTCCAATCATTTTCTCACTGATGAATATGCATCGAATTTAATTGTGACTTGTCTAACAACTTGTCCTGATCTTCTTCAACCGTAAGTATAATCATATACTTTCATTATAAATCTAAATAATTTCTTTTTTTTTATAGATTTTTTAAACTAATATCACATGAATATATTAGTATACGTTCAAAAAACCTTTCTGGAACATTAGAATTTCTTTGTGAAGTTATTCAACAACAAAAACCATTGAATTCATGGCTTGAAATATTTCAAACAACATCAGATTCAATTAAATTAACTGATATATTAATTAATTTAACATTACCAATGGAAATAATGAATAAATTTGATCAAGTTATTTTAAAAAATTCTGATTCAACAATTCAATTGATATCGATGAAATTTCTTTCAATGATATTAGAAAGAGTTAAAGAAGCATTAAATATTCTTACGAATGTTTCATTAGCTTGTGAGAAAATTAGTGCACTTGAAGCTTACCAACAAGCTATTTTAAGAGTAAGTTTAATATATTAAATAATCATTGCATGAAAATCTTGCAATATATCTAAAACTAAACGTTTATATATATTTTAGTATATTCCAAAACCTGATCATTTTTGTGATTCATTAAATCTTTTGAAAACGACTGATTCAACAACATCTGATTTACATCATTCAATTAGTCAATATATAAATTTATTAAAATTATATTCATCATCATGTTTTATGTCAATGTCAGCAATGAATATAAATCTTGATATACTTTTAACAAATTCTATATTGAATTTATTATCATTCTTTAAAGAAATTTTATTAAAAAATGATATGAATGATAATTTAATTGAAAATTATTTTCAATGTATTAGAAATATTCTTAATTATAGAGAATCAATCGATGATGCTGTATGGGCAAGACATGTATGTATTAAATATTCCTACAAATAATAAGCCTCTCTGTAATATTCTCGATCTTTTTGTGGTTATATATGTAGATAATATCGAGTATTTTCTAAGATATATTTTAAAAGAATGGTTCACTACGAATAAGCTCTCGAGCAAGTTGCAGACACAACTCTGACAGTTCAGAATTTTTTATCTTACACATAGCACAAGAGTTTACATAATCATATCTATAGTGTGTAAAGATCCTTATGATTGCAACTGTAGAAGATACAGGCCACAATACAAATACGAATTCTCACGCGTTAGATGGCTTACTGTCTCTTTGCCAATTACCGTAAGTCCAGTGGATTTTCGTCCACTGTTATAACACAAAATTAGTGTAAAATGTACGTGTCAAATTAACCTAATATTATCAAAATAAGCATATTATAGTCTAAACTCCTCGATATAGTTACCAGGCACTATTTTTATACATATGTAATAACATAATGACACTGGCGAATTTTGGAAATCCCCGTTAGATCAAATGAAGTTTTCATGACGCTTTAAAACGTCACCGGGCCGAAAAGGTTAATGTCACTTGATAGATTGTACGAATTTATGCTAAAAAGAATAGGTTACTAGATTTACATGTGGAGTAATCTATGAATGTTTGCAAGTTATCCTTCAACATATTTAACTGTTCGAAATATGGAGTGGCTTATTATAGCTGTAGTACTTATTAAAATGTTTTATTTTATTTTAATTTGTCTAGAATAAAGAACTTGAATGTACACCACTTCGAATGTTATTTAAATTAGGAAAACAATTCAAACAGTTTGATCAAATATCTGAACATCTCGCTTCGGTAAAAATCTTCTTTTTGTAAAATACAAAAAAAATTAAATTTATTCTTTTAAGATTATAGTTAAGCTTTCATCAATGATTAATAATAATTATCAAGAATTAATCATTTGGTTTTATACATGGTTAAAATTAGGAAATAGTGAAAAGATTGAACAATTTCTATCAAATTTGATTGAAAAAATTATTTTAAATCCTTATCCACTTCTTGAAAAAACAATTAAAGATAGCGGGTAATTGAAATTATTATTATTAGTTTCTGTTTTAATATTAAAATTATTTTTTAAAGGTATAGTTTAATGATTTATTCAGCTCTTGATACAATTCAATATTCTAAAGAAGGTTAGATAGAATTAAATAATTATTTAATAGAATATTATTTTCAATTTAGATATTTCAAATGAAATTGATGAATATTTATGTGATGTTGTATTTCAAATATATATCGGACAATTAAATCAACCAACAGATAAAGTTCATCAACATTTACGAAAAGTTTATTTGAAAAATAAGAAAAATATGAAAATTTATCAATTATTTAATGTTATATCTACATTAAATAAACAAAATGAAGTATGTTAATGATTATATATTGAATTCTATACACATATATGTTTGTTTTCTAGATTCTAATGAATGAAATCAGTCATATTGCAAAATCAATTCTTTCAAATATTGATCTCGAAAAAGGTCCAGATAATATACAAATAAATTTAGCAATTAAATTAAATATCTTTAAAATATTTCTATTACAAGTAAGATATTACAATACTTTGTAGTACTAATTCGATCCAATGAGTTTTAGTTATAGATAGAAAGAGTCTTTCGTTATTCTCTATAGTAAAAAATACGAAATTAAAAATAGATATTTTCTCATAGATAAATATTATGACATTTGCAGAAGATTAGTATTTATTTTGCATATTTAAAACGACCTGTAAGCATAACACTGTGATATAAATCGACAATTTAAATTTCATTTAATATTAAGGAAACGGTAGTAATGCTAATTAAAGCAAGCCCTACTTTAATGTCTTAAGCATGGTTAACAAGTTTCAGAGATATGATTTCACTACATATCTGAATTGAATCATTCATTTTTCATTTCTTCGATTGTGCATTTGTAAATATGAGTGATCAGATGAGATGAAAACCGATTAACTTAGGCCTCTATTTGCAAATACTGAGTTGCAAAACAGTTCATACCAAGGCATGACTTTATTCTTATTGTAAATTATCAAATTTTATTTACTCTACTTGTTCATATAATTGAAAAGATGATTTATTAATCTTCGATCAGAATTAAACGTTTTACATATAAACCATAAATCTATGTAGCATACCATTTGTGATTGCAGAATCTTCTAAATTCATGTTTTTTTGTATGACATAATTTTCAAGGATCCCGAAAGATGCGTTTTGTTTCCGAACTCCCATCTGCAAACTTCTTATACCCGATTATCAAGAAGAGATCTATAGCCCAATTATTAAATATATTATCTTAATATTTTTCTAGGAAAGTGATACTTCAAGATTAATTGCTGAAATGATTCAATGTTTGAATATTGCTCTTCTGCTTAAAGATCCTCATCGTTCATTTGAAATTCTATTCGATACAGCTATTGAACATATTCAATCGTATTCATTATTATCAAGTGAAAATATTGACATAATTCCATTAATTTGTCAACTTATAAATGGACTTAATATGACACATCAAACAACAAAATCACTTCAACATTCAAAAATTTTATTAAAATGTCTTGAATATCAACCAAATAATTATCATCTCATTTATTTTACATCGAATTATTTATCTTT